TTAACTATGTTTTCTATCCTGACGGTTCAAAAAAAGCGACGAGGTAAAGAACCGTAAAGAAACCCTCGAAGGAGCTTATAGTTCGCTCACCTAGGAAAATCTACGTACATGTAAATAAATAAATAATGAAGAAGATAATTTAAACGGAGCCCATGTCGTACTCCCGGTGCCACCCCGGTGGACGTCGAACCCTGCTACTTCGACGAGTCCCCGAGTCTTGAACGTGTTGGTCCCCTGGTTCATCCGAATCCGTAACACTCCTCCTTTCTTCGACAGTCACCTTGTCCTCAAGGTGGAGATGTGGATAGTGTTCTTTTATCAGCGCCAGTGGTTCCCAAGTAGCATCATCCAATGTACCATCACTCCATGAAATCAAGCCTTGTTGGACCGGCACCCCATGCTGTAAAACCCGACGAACTGCATGTAGTTGTATGGGGTGAGACGGTGTTCTTCCATCAACGAGATCATCCGGCAATGCCAAGGGCTGCACTGGCACGTTGGTACCACGAAAAGGGCGAAGGACAGAGACATAAAAAACCGGGTGGATTTTGGAATTTTCCGGTAAGCGTAGCCGGTAGGCAACAGGACCGATGCGTTCTACCACCTCGTACGGCCCATAGAATTTCAAGGCTAGCTTCTGGGAAGAACGCCTCACCACAGAGTGTTGACGATATGGCTGCAAACGCAAGAGAACCCAGTCCCCCACGTTGAACTCGACGTCCCTCCGGCGTGCATCCACCTGCTGCTTCATACGATTCTGGGCTGCCACCAAATCTGACCGAAGCCGTCGAAGAAGGGCATCACGCTCCGTCAAAAGAGTATCCACCGCTCGCACCTTGCTGGATCCCGACGAATATGTCACCAATGACGGTGGTGGGCGGCCGTACAACGCTTGAAATGGGGTCATGCGAAGACCTGCATGGTAGCTTGTGTTCAAAGAATACTCGGCCCAAGGCAAGAGTATGGACCAACGTTTAGGAGTGGCGTGTGTGAACATGCGCAAATACTGCTCCAACGTGCGGTTCATCACTTCAGTTTGCCCGTCGGTTTGGGGATGGTATGATGTACTATGCTTGAGGGTGGTGCCGCTAAGAGTGTGCAATTCCCGCCAAAACGTGCTAATGAAAATTTTATCCCGATCGGAGACAATGGAACGGGGAAATCCATGGAGCTTAATGACCATATTGGTGAACAAAAAAGCCGTCCGGTGGGCGTCGTGATCCGCCGGAAGTGCCCCAAAGTGGGCATATTTAGTGAGGCGATCTACCACCACCAGAATAAACGAACACCCTCTTGACGGTGGCAATCCAGTAATGAAATCCATGGTTAGATCCTCCCAAACCTGTTGAGGGACGGGCAAGGGTTGGAGCAGACCGGCAGGTGCCTGTGTCGAGGCCTTGGCTTTCTGACAAACCTCACATTTAGCAATATAAGCACGAACGTCTGCGCGCATCCGAGGCCAATGAAAAGACGCTGCTAGGCGGTGGAATGTGCGGTGGACTCCCGCGTGCCCCGCGATAGGGGAGTCATGATATTCACGAAGCAACTCGGTACGAAGGCTGGAGTCAGCCCCAATGCACAGTCGTGTATTATAGAAGAGCAACCCGTCGGCCACAGTATACAGAGCCGGCAATACTCCACGGCGATGCTGATCATGAAGGGCGCACAGGTCTGGTTGGCTCCAATTTGTTGAAACACGGGTTTATCACGTTTTCGTACTAAAGCCGTGTTCGTTTTTATGACAGGTTTTGATAATGCCAAACCGCCGTGAACGAGACAAGTTGTTGAATATACAAGGCGAGAAATAAATATAAGAAGAAAGCAAGAGAACAAGACCCAAAAGAAGACCAATAACGAAGACCCTAGTCTTAGTGTTGTTGAGTCGGTCATAATTGTGATCAAGACCGACCCAACCTTTACACCTTGGCTCTTTAGGCTAAAATTATTTTCATTGCATTTCACACATCATAAAAATGTTTTTCAAACATGTTTAAAACATTAAAAACACTTGGTGTTTGCCCTAACCAAAAACCAAGCCATCCGGCGTTCGGGTTTCAGAAACCGGCGTTCGGCGTTCGGTTTTCGGCGTTGGTTTTTGGCGTCCGAACTAACCAAGCGGTTTTCAACTTTTTATGACTGGTTTTTACTTCTGGGCACATTTAAATAGTTTTTCATCAAAAACACTTCAAAAACCACCTTTCGTTTTTTGTCGTTTGATAAAAACCACGCGAAACAGCATAAACTTGGCTAGCCGTGGTTTTTACTTAAACGAAATGGTTTTCAAGTCTTTTTGTGTGGGAATTGTTTTTGAATGCATTTAAATGGTTCTCCAATCAAAACATCATGAAAACCACCTTTCGGTTTTGTCTTTTGGCGAAAACCACCCGTGTACGGTGTTGACTTGGTCAACCGTGGTTTTTACCTTAACGACGTGGTTTTCAACTTACAAAGCCTTTTTTGACATCACAATACATTAAATAAGTGTTTTATATACTTAGTTTTTACTTTGGAGAACTTTGCATTTTTCGGTCGGGTTTCAGTGCCGGTCGGCTAAGCCATGGTTCTGGACTAGCCATCTACCCAGCGATGGTAGATTTCACCCATGCATGGGTAAGTGATCCTGGGATTCCAGAATCATGTCACCCAGCGATGGGAAGATCTTCCCATCGATGGGTAAGCAGTCCCTTAGCCAAACCAATTTCCAGAACCATGCCAAACAGCGACGGGAAGTTCTACCCATCGATGTTAAAGCCTTGGTGCAACATTACCACAAGGCAGAATGCCCTTACCCAGCGATGGGAAGCTTTACCCATCGATGGGAACCCAGCGATGGGAAGGCTTAACCATCGATGGGAAGGCATGACCGTTGGGAGTCATTTAAGGCTGATTCTTTCCTTATTTGAAAGTCAACCTCCCACCCAGCGATGGGAAGCATTTACCCATCGATGGGTAGGTAACCGTTGGCTTCAAAACTGAAGGAAAATTGGCTTACCAGCGATGGGTAAGTCCTAAACATCGATGGGAAGCCAATATTCTGCAGATCCCAAATCTTTTCAATCCCATAAATCAAGCCAATCACCCCTTTAATG